TTAACCATTTCCTTCCTTCTGCTTATTTTGGTATTAATTTGTTCTTTCTTTAGTTTCTTAAGGTGGAAGATTAGGTATGTGGTTTGAAACCCTCGTCTTTATCTACTCTGTACATTTAAAGCTATAACTTTCAAGCACCACTTTAGCTGCACCACACTCATGTTTTTTCACTTACTTCAAAATATTTCCTCTTTTATTACTTATTGTTTGATCTAGCTGAATATTTAGAAGCAACTTGCTTAATTTCAAATATTTGGAGATTTTCAGATATCTTACTGTTACTGATGCAGAAATTATGTATGATCACAGAGCATACTACACATAATTTGGTTGTTTTGATTCGGGAAGACTTATTTTATTGCCCAGAATATGGTCTATCCTGGTTAATGTAAACTTGAGAAGAATGTATATTCTGCTATTATTGAATTGAGTGTTCTATAAATGTAACTCAGTAGAGGTGGTTCCAGTGTTGAAAAAATCTGCATCTTTACTGCTCTTCTGTCTACTTGTTCAATTACTGATAGAGAAATAGGAAAATGGGTTTTCTCATTCTATCAGTTTTTGTTTCATGTGTTTTAAAGTCCTTGATGTGTGCATGCACATTTAGCACTATTCTATCTTATTGGTGAACTGTTCCCTTTATTATGAAATAACCCTCTTTATCCCTGATGATACTCCTTGTTCCAAAATCTTTGACTGATACTACTCTAGTCCCGCTAGTTGTTGTTAGTGTTTACATAGCATTATATGTTTTTCTATCCTTTTATTTTGTAATGCTGAATTGGAAGGAAAAATTTTTAATAATCAAACAGTATATACCATCAAAAATTGACTACTAAACCCTGAAAGTCAAATGTAAAATCAAATAACTGAGAAAAGAACTAATGATGAGCAGTATACCCTTTTAAACACAGAACTAAGATTAAAGAATAGTAAGAATTATAATTACAAAGTAGTATATCATTTAAAAAACATTGGCAAAATAGAACAAAGCAAATATAAGTGAACAGTTAGGTACACCCTTTTACTTTTATTTAACCTGTCTTTTGTCTATTGTGTTTACTGCCACATCTCAGTGCCCAGAAACATGCCTGGAACTTTTGTTAAATAAATAATAAATGAAAAAGCTGCCACTGTGCTAGAGAGTATCCGATAAAGCTTGGATATTCACTTGGTAGGAATGTTATGAAGACTTTTACGCATCAAGAAGTTTAAATGAGACAACATTTTAGGTCTTTTCCTAACGGAAGTGTAATGACCCCACATTTCTTTGTGAAGATTTTTATGGTTTTCTGGCTATTTCCCATAGGCTTCTAACCAGTGTCCTTAATAAGATATGGGACAGCACAAACTGGCAAAAGACCTTTCCAGTCAACTTGTGCTCTATACTTGATCTCCTAGAAGTAAATACTCTCCACCTTACTCTATTCTCTAATTCTGATAAAGCCTGCACAGTGAATATCATACATTTAAGAATTATCATTCTTTCTATGGAGAACTGGTAAACTAGGGTACAAAATGGAATCATAAATTGATGGAAAGCAGACAGAATGCCTGGTTTTGTTTTTGTTGGTTGTGCTATGTTGGACAATATACTTGACATCTGTTTCCAATGAAGATTAAATAATAAATATAAACAATATGTAATCATATGGGGTGGTGTCATGACACAAGGCTAAACCAGTCAGGATCACTCCAGGTGAACTGAGCTGGCACACAGAGAGAGAGAAATACCTTTTCCTTTGGGTTCTGGGATGGCTCCTCTGACCCAGCTCCCACAAAGGAGGCAAGGTAGGCAAGAAAAAGAAAGAGCACAACTGGAACCTGGTTTTATTGGGGATAAGCCATTCAAATGAGGCAAGGGGTAGGATTACAAAGGAACAGGTGAGTGCAACTCAACCCACCAGGTGACACCTACTCCTGGAGCCATGCCTCATTATCTCAGTGGAGATAAAGCCCAAGTTATTGCAGGACTTAAGGACTTAAGGGCATGTATTTCCAGAGCAGCTCCCAACAAGATAGTACTTGACACTATTATAATAAACATTCTATAAGCATTTTTGTATTTTAAATAAGTTAATATTTTTAAATCAATTATAACTAATAAAATTCAAATTAGCAAATACAACTTATTTACAAAAACTACTTGATGGATGGATTCTCCCTGTGACCTACCTGCACGGCCAGTGAACAGTTGAACAGCTCTGAAACATGAGCCATGAGCAGATTGAAAATATAGTGAGAATAAAAAAATAGAAATAAAGAAAAAAAAGGCAAAGACATGAAAAATAGATGTAGTGGGCCAGTTGGTGAGAGAGTCCTAAAGGAATCTTAAGCAACAAGAGCAGGGGCTCCGTGTGTTAATTTTATAGGTCTTAAACATCAAAGGGATTCACTGTGAAAAGGCTTCTTGAGGTGAATAGGAAGATGTTGTGAGCAAAACAGTTTAATTGGAGTTTATCAGTTTGCACTCATCTACTTCTGGGCTGCCAGGATTAGAATTCAAGGCTTTTGAACTAGTAAATTCCATGACAAACACTGAATTCTATCAACAGGAGTTATTTACAACTGGGCGTTTGCCTCCTTGCCAAAGGATTCCCAAGAGAGGAATCTCACTGTCCAAGGTTACATAGTTAAAAGTCCCAGCTCCCAAAAATGGATAATAATGATTAGTCTTTTAAAAAAATGTGTGTGTGTTGTATAGCCAGGGAAATATTTTTAATTTGGTCTTTGTGATAATTCTTCTAGGTAGATTATGAGCAAAGAGTCTCCAGAGGTTAAGTAATTTGCTTCAATATACATAGCTAGTAATAGGTTGAACCTGGTTTATTATTCTTAATGTATGCTGCATACACTTTAATATAAAAAGAACAAAAAAGTCTCTAAAGACTTTAAATAAGTCTCTAAAATCTCCAAAGAAACAGGATAAGATTTCCAGAAATGGGTTATGTCACTGCTTAACTTTTTCTCTAGTCCCCTTAGAAGTGTCTTGACACTCTCATTTCTTTTGAATTAAGTTTTTCTTCCATGATCAAATTAACATCCACAATCTTTGTTTAGATTCTGAGCCTTGAACAAATACAATTAGATGATATGTAGCAGAAATTAATGGCTGTCTAAGCAAGATTTTTCTTCCCTTTTTCACTGTTGGTGGACACAGAATATTCAAGTCACATAGGCTTCTTTTGGGAAAGCAGATACCTTGATGTCGAAGTCTTCAAGAGATAGGATGCCAGTGACTCTTACCTGCTCATCCCTGAGTTCTGAACAATAAAGCTGCTTCACGGGAAACTATTTCATGCTGTATCTTTTTATTTCCAAAGCTTAAAAAAAAATGAACTTGTAAGAAAACAATCAGCAAGGTGCACTCCTGGCACATGCCTATAATCCCAGTGATTCTGAAGGCTGAGGAAGAAGGATTGCAAGTTCAGGACCAGCCTGAGCAACTTTGTAAGGCACTAAGAAATTTAGTGAGACCCTGTCTCAAAAATGAAATATTTACAAAAAGGGGTGGGGACTTGGCTCAGTGATTAAGCACCCTTGCTTTCAATCCCTAAAAACAACGGGCATCCTTGTTTGCACCCCTTTAATTGAATGCGTGTTCCTCTCCTGAGTCCCAAAAATCTTAATTTGTTTACATGTTTTATGATTCCTGTTACTGGTTTCTGCATCTACTTTTCTGAAAATCAATACAGTGATGTAGACCCTAGATGAAGTCTGCCACTGTCATACTATTAATCATACTTTTCAGTAAGGTTATGAGTGTTCCCATCTATGAATATATTATGTAAACCATGCATTGCTTTAAAAAGACACACTTTTAATAAAAATTAATTGCAGTTAACAAAAGATAGAGTTAAAATGGGCAATTACATAGATATTCATAAAGTCTACATATATAAGCTACAATCTCAAAAGAATATATAAAACTCAGTAATATTTATCAATATAGAACTATAAATTTGATTCAGTTATGTGCTGAAAAACTAATAAAGCCATTTCTATTTGGAAGACATAGGTCACCTTTGAATCAAATTATACCCATGATAATATTTTTAAGACATCCATTGCCCACTAATTAATTATAAAGCATGAATTTTTTAAAAAAAAATTAAAAATAGCAAAAATTCTTTAAACTATCTTTACCCTTTCAAAAACCTTAACATAGTTCTCTCCGATGGAAAACAATGGGACACAAAGGAAAAAAGTCCTAAAACCTCTCCAGTCCAATTTTCAGCTCTGAAGAGCCTAGACTGGTAGGGGAACAAATACTCAAAAAGCATCATTGGTCAAAAATAACTTCCCTAATACATTTTAAGTTTCCTTTTCAAAATACAAACATCACTACCTCTTTCCCCATTGAATTGAAGACTATTAGAGACCACACTATAAATAACAGTAATATATTTAATCATATTTAAAGCACATTTTTAAAAGAGAGAGGGCAGATTAAGGAGAAGAAAGAACTTGGGAACTAAAGCATTGGAGTGATCTATCTGGATGCTCTAAGAGGCAGCTTTACAGGAACGTGAGAGAATACCAAAAACAAATCCATCTTACAAATTATAAGAATGAATCCATGCATTCCCCCTCTCCCCTTCAACTTATCTTGGAGCTGCCACTGGCTAAGTAATCTGATGTTCTACCTAAGTTACAAATAGAAGATATGACACCATGAGTTGAAACATGTCTCACTATAATGTATACATATATAAATTGTGCAATATAAATGGATCTAATATGTTTCTTTGTTTAGAGTGTTAATGGTAGGCTATGACAGTTGGATAACTATCAGTACAGTTTTTCAACACTCTGAGAAAAAGAAGCAAGTTAAGAATTTGTGGTGTACAGTCTACTCCTCCAGCCTTCTCTGTTCCTGTCCTCAACTGTGAAATTTTAAGGTTCCAAGTAATAGACTATATTTAAAGATTTTATAACATTTTTCAGCATTATACTCTGCTTAGGAACACAAATCTAAAACATAAGTCAGAAATCGCATGTTAAATTATTAGCAAAAACTATTTATTAAGTAGTAGTACTAAAATCAGGAAGAATATTGGAGTTGGAGGTTAAATTTCTTTTCAAGGCTATCTGTTCCACACACTTTGCATTTTGCATTTTTTCAAATAATTAGCTCTTGATGACAAGTTACTGGTAGTAAGGATTTAGAAAGTTACGTGTCTTGCAGTTGCTAATAGGACTGTAATGAAGCAGTCTTGTAGTTCTTCATATTGAGTGCCCTAAAATTGAATAAAGGCACATTTAATTTTAGACATGCAGATAATATATCCACATTTTCTATAAAATTTTTACATTAAAAATTTACACTGATATATTTGATGACATATGAATGATCCAGAAACAAAATTTGTCTCACAAACTTAGAAAACTTATCTTTTATTAAAGTCAGATAAATTTAGAAAACATAATTTAACAGGAGAAACAATTATGTAACAAATTTTAACTCTTATTGTCCAAAGGTTTATTCATTTTAAAATTCGGGGAAAAGAAGCTAAAACTAGATGTGGGATATTTGCAATAATGTAAAATCAGATTTCAATAAAGTCAAAGCAATTAAACAGACAAATATAAGTATTATAAGTACATAAGTATTATATATGCATTTTTAATCAACCAGAATATTTCCTGTTTGCAGAGAAGGTTATTTCAAAGCTAGGGGCAGAACTCTTAAGCCTCATTAGGATTCCTCACAATTAACAGGGCATGGTGGCACATGCTAGTAATCCCAGCCACTCAAAAAGCTGAGGCAGGAGGATCACATATTCAAGCGTAGCCTCAGCAGTTTAGTAAGGCTCTAAGAAACTTAATGAGACCCTGTCTCAAAAAAGAAAAAGAAAAAACGATTCCTCACAAATGCTGAGAAATTCCCTTTAAGAAATGGCCAATGATAGTGTATACTGTTAAAGTACAAATATCAAGTAGTTTTAAATAACTAGAGATAAAGTGCTTTTTACAAGGGAAGACAGGTATATTGAAGGTGCTTAGATTTCTAAAGTCAAATTTTAATTTTTAAAAGTGTATACATAAATATTTTGAAGTCTAAAATTTGAAAATATTTTTTGACTCTTAGGCTAAATATAAGATATTCCTACCTTTTGACATTCAAACTCATTATACTTTCAATTGGTCTGCTTTTTGGTCCACTTGGGGGATGAAAAACCTTATCATCTTTTTTGGAAACCTCCTTTCCTGGTTTAAGCACATAAGGGTCAGTAGAATGTGATGGGTAAGGTTCAAATGTTCCTGCTTTCATTCCACCAGGCTACAAATAAAAATGAGTCCATTTAATGTGATTTTATAAAATACTTTTTAAAAATTAGGTTGTGAATAAGTTAATAGATACTTTTGTAATCTATGAAGTTAGTTTTACATTTAAAGAAGTTATCTTTTTGTTTAATTCAAATACCAGTAAAAGGTCTCGCTACCACCAATTCTATAAGGCTAAGATATTATATTCCAAAATTTCTCCATAAAAACAAAAAAAAAATTATAGTAAGGTACTATTCTCAGATGTTACCAAGCATTAATGTTAGTGAGTTTCATCAAGCTATTGCCTTGTTAGGGTGAGTCTATTACTGAGGAAATGAGACCCAGCATATATTTTGATAGAGAAGGGAATAGGAAGTCTGAAATTAACATGTGTGTGCTAACCAGCAGGCAGTGATGGGGTAGACAGCTCCCTCAAAAAATGAACAACACATAGAAATAGAAGGTGAGAGGAAAATGTGATCCACTTTATACTTTTCTTGTAGTCTAGAGTAAGACAAAGTGCATTTCTACCTATACAACAGACAAATATTTGCTTTCACTTTTTAAATGGATTTGACAGGATTTTTACCTATATATTACATAATCATTAAGAAAATTCTAGTTATAATAATCCATTTAATTAAGCCAAAATACACATGCAAATTTAATTGATTTGAAAGACATGCTTATAGTTTTGTAAGTTTTCCAGACTGAGATGACATAGATTATTTTGAATAATAATAAGAAAACTTAAGGAAAGTAAAATAAATTAACTTGAAAATAAAATTTAAAAAATTTAAATGAATAAATTATAAATAGGAAAATATATATAGTAACTAAACCTACCAAATGGTTCTTTAAAGAATGAACTAAACATATGAAGCAATATTAGAAATAAAAATTTAAAAATAGGGTAAATCCATGCCTATGAGGAATATCAAAATATATAAAATAATATTTTGTAAACTTCTGTATTAATTTGAAACTTGATTTGAAATTTGAAATTTTGACTTAAATAATTTTTTAAGATCTTTTCATATAGTAATGTAAATTTTTCATATAGTAATATAGTAAATTTTTAAATTTGAAAACTTGATTTAAATAATTTTTTAAGAAAGTATAAATGATCAGAATTGACCAAGAAGAGATAGAAATCCTATAGAAAACAGATACAATGTAAGAACTGAGAAAGCTGACAAAGAGCAACCTCTGTACTTCCCCTGTGAATTCTGAGGAATGGAAATTGATGGTAATATTTAAACTGTTACAGAACATGACGTAAAGGAAGGAAATCTCCCCAAGTATTTTAAGATGCTAGCATCTACTTGTACCAAAATAAACAAGGCACTCGCACACACACAGTGCAGACTGAGAACTTACTTAGCATGGACCAGGCTCTGGGTTCGATACACAGCACCACATATAAACACACACACACATGTTGGCATTTCATAAAATAATGGCAAATTAAATATAGTACTATGTTTAAAGATTAATATATCACCAAATCAGATTCATTACAGAAATATATTTATAATATATATTATTCACCTTATAACTAGTAAAAAAGAGAAAAAAATGATGTAATATTATACCATTTGATAAAATTCAACATACATCTGATAAAATTGAATCTGATAAGGCTAGCAGAAAAAAAAATAAGGCACATTATTCTAATATCAATGGTAAAACAACAAATCCATTCTGAAAATGACACAAAACTTCACCAGAAAGGATTGATCAATTTATTCAATTTCTAAATAGCACAAGATAACATAATCAAAGTCAAAAGATCTAATAGAGTAGAAAAATTACTTTCACCACAAATGAAAAAAGGATATATCCTTACGGTATGAAAAGATCTTGAGTCAATATGGAAAGCACAAACACCCTTACAGAAAGTTCACAGGCAAATGAGCAGGCAACATCATGAACAACCCCAAAAATGGGAAGGATATATGTAAAAATACATTCTATTGTCATGTATAACTAAAAACCAATTTTTAAAAAAAGAAAATGAACAGGCAATTCACAGAAGGAAAAAGGACAAAGGAAAACTAAGGTTTATAATTTGTCAGAGCATTTTAAAATTTTTACTCTCACTGATTATAAATATCTATAGTAGGGAGGTAGTTCATTTTAATCACCATTTTAAAAACTAAAAAGATGACTTGGAAATTTTATGGTTTTGAAAAAACCCAGGGTTAAGGTCTTGAGAGCTACTTGGAAAACTCACTGTAAGTCCAAATATATTTGAAATGATTAGTAACTACTTTATTACAAGATCTTCATTACATACCTTAGCCATGTTTTTATATAATTTTGGAAAATTAGGCTTTCATGATTCTTGGCATCCATACAAAGAAAAGCTTATTATATTGATGAGTAATAAAACAATTTACAGCAAGAGGCTATTTATAATGCTTTTTTTTTTTTGCATTCTGAAACTTTTAACTTACCTTTTTACCAGGAGAAGAGGGCTTAAAAGGACTTAAAAGTGATTCTTTCTTCTCTTCTTTTTTAATTGGAGGTAAAGGTTTTTCAGTAAAATAAGGATTAGTGTCAAAATAGTCCCTTGGGTAAAGATTTAACTTGAAAGGTGCCCCCTTCAGTAACCGATGATGCTCTTCATTTTCTTTCTGTAAATTAAAGAATTTGAAATTACATAGCATATACTATGCAAGTTGGAAATAACGTGAAGACAAATCTCCTCTTAAATTTTAACATAAATATGTAGATTCTTTAGTGTATACTGCTGGGTGTACGCTGAGGTAGGAGGATCACAAGTTCTTGAACTCAGCCTCATCAACTTAACCAGGCCTTAAGCAACTTAATGAGACCTGTTCTCAAAATAAAGAAGTTAGAGGATCAGGGCTATAGCTCAGTGGTTAGGCACCCCTGTGTTCATTCCCAATACCAAAGAAAAATTTTAATAAAATAAATAAATAAAGCAGCAGGCACATTGTAGGCCCTCAATAAATGTCAGCTTTTACTTCTAAGACTAAAGAATATAATATTTGTATGTTACGATATCTTTAGCTACCTGGTATTCAAACAAATCAGAGGATTTATTTTTCCTCTTATGCTGCAATCTTTTCTATGGGACAATACCAAGTTATAAAAATGGCTAGCATTTAATAAAGTGCCAAACAAATCGTGCTGTGATATAAAAATTTTAAAAGACAACTATGAAGTGAATATTGATTTTTTTCACTTTTTACAAATATGAAATCTTATATTTCATCAGTCAACCATCTGAACTGAAAACATTTGAATAAAATCTAAAATTGTCACAAGAGAAGACTAATTGTCACTACCAGGAACCTCACTATATTTCTTTAAGGATTTTTTCACTCCTCCTCTTGTGTGTCCTCTACCTTTCTGCAGTCTACCGGACCTTTACCAGTTTTTGATAATCTCCCCTGCCCTCTTCCATATCTCAACAGTAGTACTGACAATTTAACTATTCCATATATCCTTTGGAGTAGTGTTTCTGAAAGTTAGCTTTCATGGGAATCACTTGGTAATATATTTAAATTAGAAATTACTAAGCTCTTCCTTCAAAGATTTCTGTTACATAAGTCTGTTGTATGGTCCCACTAACCTGCAATTTTAACAGGTAACCTAAGTGATTCTGAGCATGATGTTATAAGGCAATGTTTTAATGAACACCTTTTTACTTATTAGAGTATGATCACTTTTTATGAGAATATTGTATTTGTTTTACCAACTTCTGACCTAGATAGTCAGTTGAGTACTGTTAAGCATATATGAGAAAAAGACCACCTGGAAGAATTAGAGGTAAGAGTGTGTGGTTCTCACAAAGTACTGTTTCCCACTAGTTATTCCAAAAAACTTTAAAATTCACAGAGCACTGGGAGGAGTACATCAAAAGACCTTGCCTCAACAGTGGATAATAATTACCCCTAGATTGAGCACTGCTCCAGCCCCATCTAACAATTCTTAAAAGCAAGACCTGAAAATATCAAACTGTTTTAAGTAATATATCTGCATCCCAGAGCAAAACTCAAGAAAATTTATAATACAAAAATATACAATATTCAACAAGGTAAAATTCCCCATGCTTGACATCCAATCAAAAAGCGCTAGTAATGCAAAGTGGAAAAATATGACCCATCCTTAGAAGAAAAACCAATTGCTCAAAATAAATTCAGAACTAACACAGATATTAGAATTATCAGGGAAGGGCATTAATATAGTAATTATAACTATATTCCATATGCCCCGTAAATTAAGTGGAGACAGGTAAGATATTAAAAACATTCAAAATTCTAAAATAAAAAAAAATTAAAAGAATTAAAAAAACCTTCTACAACACAAAACCATAATTATGATATTTAAAAATACATTGGATAGCATTAACAGCAGACTGGAAATTTAGAATATATTAATTATCTTGAAGATATAAGCAATAGAAACTAACAAAGTGAACTATAGAGAAGAAATCAAAGAACATTTTTAAAAAAGTGAATAGGGCATTGGTAATTTGTGGACAGTTTCAAGAGACCTAAAACACATGTAATTGTAATCTCTGAGAGGAAAAAGAAGAGGGATTAGGAAAAAAAAAAAGCTGAAGAAAGACTGGCTTAAAACATTTTCAATCTGATTTTTAAAGTAACTATCCAAAAATTTAATAAGCCCAAGCACAAGAAGTGTGAAAGAAAACCCCAAGGCATATGATAATCAAATTGCTTATGTAGTGATTTTTTTTAAGTAGCCACAGAAAAGACATAGTATATACAAATGAACATACATGAGCATGACAACAGATTTCTCATCATAAATAATTCAAGCAAAAACACAATGGAGTAATCTCTTAAAATACTAAAAGAAAAATCAAATACATTCTTCCAATTACCTTCCAAAATTACTTTAAGAAATTCAGGTACACAAAATATCTGACATATATAATAAATTCTGAAAATGAAAAGCTTAGGATGAAAGACAACTTACCGAGCCTCTGATAAAATTACACTGTAAGTAGTTAGGTAGTACGTATGCATTATTATTTTTACAGATGAAAAGTAGTTTACATACAATTTTATATAAACTGCATAATCCATTACACAAACAGAACTGCTTATTTTCAAATGACAAAATGTTCTATCCAACTTAATTAAAAACTTCTCCTGGATTTGGACATGCCCCTTTGCAAAATTGGCCACTATTCTAATTCTCAGTCACCAATTAAAATCAGCACAGCAAAATTACTGAAGACTGCATGCTGGAAAAAAAAAAACTAACAAAGGGATGGCCATATCTGTTTTAAGTACAAACTAACTTGACTTTTCACTACCAGCTTTCTTTAAATTATGCCAGGCAAGGTGGTGCATGCCTATAATCCTTAGTGGTTTGAGTGGTGGAGACAAGCAAGTTCAAGGTCAGTCTTAGCAATTTGGCAAGGTCCTAAACAACTTAGTGAGACCCTGTCTAAAGATTCTTAAAAAATTTTAAACAGTTGGGGATACTGTAGCTCAATGGCAAATTGGCCATGGGTTAATTCCTAGTACCAAAAAAAAAAAAAAATTACGTTGATCTTGTTCTAAAATTTTTAAGAGTTAAGATTTAAGCATATGTAAATGTTCCCCACATAACTAAATATTTTTGTTATATGTAAAATATTGTGTAAAGTAAATGTAAAAGATATTATGCCAGGATGTTTTAGTTTTTACTTTTGCCATTTAATTCAGTATGCAGTTTTCTCAGATCCTTTCACTGTCTCCTATAGCTACTCATCCATTCTCTACTCTCCCCTTTCTCCCATCACCCCATAACTCCTCCATCCTATAAACTCACCCCAAAAGACTTACCATTACTTTCTCACACATAAGATATTAGTGTGGGATGGGAATATGGCTAAGAGATAGGATATGACTCTTCCCTTAAAGCAGAACATAATTGATCAGGCCAAGTCAACATGTCTCCCTGAGGAGGCTGACACCTTGAGGTCAGCTCATCCGATGACGGGTAAGGACCATATGTAGTATTGGACAACCTAAGACAGGCATGGTTCCTAAGCCACATGCTTGTTATTTATTTAAACAGAAGGGGGGAGATGTTGAGAGCCACAGTTTAGTCAGAATGACGCCTGGCATTTTTGCCAAAGGGAATGGTTGAAAGGTGACCCTGCTCCAGGATTAGGGCAGCTCCGGGATTAGGTTGGATCCTGCTGGGAATAGGGCAGCTCCAGGATTAGGGCGGATCCTGCTGCCTCAGGCACCCACGTTGAGTTCTCTTGGGGTTCTGAGAGAATTGGCGCGCGGAGTCTGGTGGAGGGAGTGTGTTCCCGGGAAGTGTGTGTAGAGTGCCAGTGAGAGTTCGGGAATAAACAGTTGCTGTTTGAACCTACAAGGCTGTGTGGCGGCTCGGTTATTTGTGCCCAGCCAGACTGCGGCATTTGGTAGCCCATGCGGGGAACGCCTGAAGCTTGGAGGTAAGTGAAATTGCTCGCCCATGAAGGAGAGCGAAAGAATGGGTGACCATTTCAAAAAACAATGTGTTCTTGTTTTGATTTATTTTGTTTTTATTTCAAGCTGCCTGTCCCTAGAACTTTCTCAGGCAAACTGGGGAAAATGGTTGGCTCAAGGTTTGAAGTTGTTCGCCCCTGAGGAACAGATAGAGATAGACCACAAATGCACATGTCAAGAAAATAGAAAAACTGATACAACGATTTTTTGTTCCATTTTTGTTTCATTCTGTTTCGGTTTTGTTTTGTGTTATTTTGTTGGGTTGCGTTATCTTTATAATAGATCAGAAATTAGTAAAAAAACAAACCGAAAGAATGTTAAGTAAATTGTTAGAGGTCCAGACTATGGTAGATCAAGTAAAAGAGAAGGTCTCTCGAGTTAGTCAGACTGAAGTAGAAAATTTAAAGGAAAAGGGGCTATCAGAAAAAAAGTTACAACAGGAGGCTGCTACTAACACCTTTCTATCACCAGAGGGCTACCAACCAACAGCTCCACCTATAGAGACAACATATGCTGTGGGGCCCCCAACCCCCGTAGTTGATAGATGGGATCCTGAGACAAGACCTCAAAGATTAGCATGCTCTGTATTTGAGCAGACAGGAGGGCAGTGAATTCACCGTACTTTAGATTTCAAAACAGTGAAGCAGCTAAAAGAGGCTGCAACAACCTATGGTCCCTAAGCACCCTTCACTGTAAGCATGGTCGAATCCATTACCAACTTGGACATGACGCCAGCAGATTGGGCTAGCATGTGTAAAGCTGTGCTAAATGGAGGGCAATATTTGTTATGGAAGGGTTGCCAATCAGGAATTTTGCACGGAGACAGCTAGGCGAAATGCAGCAGCCGGTTATCCTCAGAGAAATCTAGATATGTTGTTAGGACAGGGACCTTATGAGGGTCAGCGGCAACGAATTGAATATGATTCTGCTATATATTCACAAATTGCTGCAGATGCGGTTAGGGCATGGAAGACTTTACAAGGACATGGAGATTTACAAGGACAATTATCTAAGGTTATACAAGGAGCTAATGAACCTTACGCTGAATTTGTAGATAGGCTTATTCAAACAGCTACCAGAGTTTTTGGGGATACAGAACAAGCAATGCCATTAATTAAACAGCTAGCCTTTGAGCAAGCAAATCGTTGGTGCAAGGAAGCCATTAGACCATGGAAACATGAAGATTTAAACACATATATTAAATTATGTAGAGACATTAATAAACAAGGGCAAGTCTTGGCAGCTGCAGTACAACAGGCTTTAGATGCCAGGCATCATTCTGACTAAACTGTGGTTCTCAACATCTCCAGCTAGCTGAGAGAGAAATGTAAGACAGACATGATCCACTACAGCAGGAAATAAAATTCATCCTGGCAAGAGCTGGGAGGATCTATCTACAGGAAGATGTGGAAATCTCATATCAAATCTCATATTATAATCGATAAACATGTCTGCTATTGTCCCAATTATACAAATAGAACAGAACAAAACTTAATTAGATAACAAGTAAATTCTCAAAGTCAACCAAATAAAAGAAGGGTTGAAAAATTAAAAATAGATTATTTTACCTTAAAATTTTGTCTTGCTGCATCATATAAATCAGAAGAGTGTGAAAACTGTTTACCTATGGTAATATTTGCATAGCTAAGGAAAGGAAATAAGTAATGGTGACTTCAGGGTTCAGAAAGTTTATTAAATTTTAAAACATGATATGAAAACATTAAAAATATCTTACCCATATCCGGTTCCTTTCTTTCCTGGGTTTGTGTATAAATTCTTTCCAGGTGGCATATATTGTTCCCTGGGTTTGGCCTGTGCACTGAAGGATGGGACTGGACCACCTATTGTTCCATAGTAGCTTCCTAGTCCACATCTTAAATACAGTTATTTTTTAAAAGGAAGAGGTTAAAATGGCTAACTTAATGTTACATATTTTCGTATAACTTTTTTAAAGATTGAAAAAGGAGAAAAATATGTGCTTGAGTAACTCCAGTGAGAAAAAAAAATCAAGCTTTTTAGTATTTAACTTGATTTTCCTCATTTTCAAGGTTATAAATTCCAAGATATGTTTTTAAAATTTTTATATTTATTTCAAATGTTCCATGTAAATACAATTTCACAATCTTTAGTAAGTTAGAATAATCCCCATCCATTCAGAAATTACACAAATCTCTAGGCACCTTAATGCAAGTTAGCTAACAAATGGTGAATGTCTTTTGATCATCCACTCCTTAAAACATACACTTTCAAAACTACATATTTGAAAATATGTTTCACTGCTGATGGTAAAGTGAATCTTATGGAATTTTGGTGTTAATTTTTTTTTCTTTTTGGTTTACACTTATTAGTGTAGGAAAAAAATTAACCAATCTTTTCTTCAATTTTAATGTTAGACTTTTCTAGGGACACAATATCTAATCCAGCTATTTATTGCTCAGCCCTTTATTATTTTCACAAATGTTTTCTTTAAATTTTGCACAATCAAAACAATAACTACTGCTAATCAGTTATCATTGAAGTAAACAAGTTGTAATCATCAGAAAATGGAACATTGTTATAAGAAGATGACACTATGCATTCATGTTTAAATTTCAAAAATCAGAAAGACATAAACATTGATTACTCATTATCTCCAGCCTACAAATAAAGGTTCCAATTAAGAGAGATTACTTATTTTCATTAACCCTTCCTTATGAACATATATCATACATTCTAAAATACAATAAGGAAGTAGAGCAGTGATATTGCAGAGAAAAGGACAATTATGGAAAAGCATAATTTAATTAGAATGTGATATAATGCCAACAATGTAAATCACTACATTTAGAATATATTAAATGCCTATGATCAGGAGGAGAGTGGATGGGGGAGGCTGGATTTAATCATACATGATGTATACATGTGTTGCAATATCATGCTGAACCAAATTAATATGTATAATTAACACATGTTAATCAAAAATAAAATATTTTAAAGTCCAGCAGAGAGATTAATAAAATAATCATGAAGATAAAAAATATGCCTATGGTTCCATAATTTGGTTTTGAATAAATGCCTATATGAGGGCTTCTTATGCTACCAATTTATCTTTTTAGAAATACTTTTTGTTGGACTGGGGTTGTGGCTTAGTGGTAAGTGCTTGCCTTGAACATGTGAGGCACTGGTTCGATCCTCAGTACCACATACATAAAAATAAAGATATAAAAAAAAGAAATACTTTTTGTATGTCACTAAATTAGAGATTTTTTTCAGATGTTTATAAGCTTTAAATAAAGGAAGCTAGTCTATTATCATATAAATGTTATTTCTTGGCTGGCAAATCAATATAAGCATGTTATGAACTAATGTATCAAGGTAGAAATTCTCAATTATTACCACCTGGGTTCATGTCATCACAAGTGGGAAAAAAGACTGAAAATCAGAAAAAACTTATTTAAAAAAATAAAATATATATTACATGAAAAAGGAATGAAGTATCTACAAAGAAAAATAACACTTTTTAAAATTTATATCTAAGGAGAAATGAATAAGTCTACAAAACAGTGGTAATTTTAAACTGTAATAATATTCAAGTCTAAGTGTAAAAAGGAGAAAAGTTTAAAAAAGAAGAAACTTAATGATTACAGCAAAGAAGAAATCCCCCACTCTTAATAAAGACAATAATTTTGGCTGAGAAGTCAAGATTATCTGTTAGAATTAGAAGGACGACTAAGTTATAGAAGTAGAGCTTCACTGTTCTCAAGAAAAATCAGCAAATTAAAAAAACAAATAAAAGTTGAGAACAGTAGAATAGAAGAAGAGGATGGGGAGGGAGGAGAGGGAAAGGGGAGGTACTGGGGAATGAAACTGATCAAATTATACTGTGCACGTATGAATATAACAAATTCCACTGTTACGTATAATTATAATGCATCCGTAAAAGGAAAAAAGAAAATATAGCAATGAAGCACAAAGTTAAGTTTTATCAATTCCTATCTACCATCTATTTTGAATTGAGAGAGTCCAAGTTACTGAGTGTGGATGAAAACCATATTCTATATTACATTGTATAACATACATGGTCTTACTTAGTAAGGTAATGATTTCATGGTAAGAAAAAAATATGCTTTCACATTGATAACTGTTCAAAATTAAAATTTTATCAATCGCCATGAGTGTATCTTCACAGCAATTTAAAAATAATATATCTTTTTTTAAAGAGAGAGAGAGAGAGAGAATCTTTTTTTTTTTTTTGTAGATGGATACAACACAATGCCTTTATTTTTAATTTTTATGTGGTGCTGAGAATCGAACTGGGGTCCTGCCCGTGCTAGGCGAGTGCTCTACCACTGAGCCACAATCCTGGCCCCATAAATAATATATCTTTGATAAATTATTTTTTTTCAAAAGAGCATTTCTCCCATGCACATTTTTTATTTATACTTTTTAAAAGTTTTTTAACAACAGAAAAAATAGTCCAAAAAAAAAGAGCAACTCAAGGCAATTCTTATTCCACCTGACTTTTGCAAGGTTTTTGAACAAATTATTTTTATTATTTAATGGCTTTTATTGTCTAAACACATAGAGAACAGTGACATAATAAAAAAAATACTATAATAATGAGATTATATTTTAAATTATCTATCTAAATCATCCAATATAGTTGTTTCCACCTAAGACAAACCATCCAAAAAATCCTACTTAAAAAATTAATATTCCTGGGCTGGGGTTGTGGCTCAGTGGTAGAGTGCTCGCCTAGCATGCACGAGGCACTGGGTTCGATCCTCAGCAACACTTAAATATTGTGTCCACCTAAAGCTTAAGAATAAATATTTTTTAAAAATTAATCTTCCATAAGTAAGTCCTATAGAAAAATGAACATTTTCTTTAGATGAAAGAGATAAAGATGTAAGAGATATATTTAAAACTCCCCCCTCCCCCACCTCCCAAAACACTTACGGTTTTTTATCTCCACTACTCGGGAGAAAGGCTTTGGCAAGATTTTTTTTGGCTTCTTCCATCATATGCCGTCTTCTCACTTGATTTAGATTTACGTAGCCTTCGCCTTCAAAAATCCTTGCAAATTGGGGATCAAAATAACCTGCCTGGAGATTTGACATTTCTTTGGTTCCCCCAGGTAGAATCTGTCTATTTTTGCTTGCAGCCTCATTAAAGGGTCCTTTAAAAATAAATTAGCCATACTATAAATTTGAGCTGTCTAGTAATTAAGGACATGGAGAAAACAGAAAAGCTTCCAAATGTGATTTGTGCCAATTCTGGGTTTGAGCTCTAAAATAAATGTTGTTTAAAATGTTAACTGAAAGCTCTGTGTTAATGGCTAACATTAAGACCTGAGAGGATTCCATTAAAATGTTGAACATGATCCTTGTGATACACTGGGAATTCTGGAACTGGAAGAGACTTAATAGTTATTTTACCCAATGTTCCTCTGGCTACATACTAGGAAACTGTTTGTGTGCTTGTATGTAATGTCAATAAGAGCATGTGTGGAGGTTGAAGAGAAGGCTGGTACGTATTCATATTGAACAATTCCCCTCCTGGGTATATGCTCAAGACAATGAGAGCTAATGTCCTCTAAAAAATATGAACAAAAATGTTCACAGTAGTTTCATTCTTAATAATTAAACACAAGAAACAACTCAAATGTCTACCTATTGAACAGATTTTTGTGGCATTTCACATCAATGTTTATAGCAGCACAATTCATAATAGCTAGACTATGGAACCAACCTAGGAGCCCTTCAACAGATGAACAGAGTATTACTCAGTCATGAAAAAAGAATGAATTTACCTCAGTTGCTGGTAAATGAATGGAACTGGAGACTATAATGCAAGTGAAATAAGCCAAACACAGAAAGTCAAAGGTCAAATGTTGTCTCTGATATGAAGAAGCTATTCTAAAATAAGGGTAAAAGGAGGAGGGAGGGAGGGGGAGAGAGAGAAAGAGAGAAAAGAAATGGTAGGAATTTCATCAAAATAAAAGATCAGGGGAGATGAAGAAGGGGAATGAGGAGTAGGGAGAGAATAAGGGAAAAACAGTGGAATGAATATGACCTAATTTTTAATGTGAATATATGAAAACTACAGTGAATTTCACCACTATGTATATCCACAAAACATTAATATTTTTAAAAACACAAATAGATGAGTAGAGTAGAAGAAAGGGAACAGGGGGAGAGGGATGGAGGAGGGGAGGGTAAGGGTAAGTACTGGGAACTGAATTGAAGCAATTTATAGTCCACCCATTTACAATTATGTCAAAAGGAATCTTGACATTATGTGTAACTATTATGAGTCAATTAAAAAATTGTAGCATTTCTACAATTGAAATACTAGCACAAATTTTTTGAAGGCTGCATTTGCAAATATTTAGATCTTTAATAATTTGGTCATAAGAGGGCTTAATTTAGGAAGTCTTTCCAAAATATGAAGAACTTGAAGTGCATACAACTCTTATTTCAAGTTGAAATATAAATATAAATAAAATTTATATTTTATTGAAATATAAATTTTCATCACTGATTTTTTAATTTAAATTTTGAAAAGGTAACATTTTCAAATAGTTTCAAATTTGATAGAATAAACAGCCTCACAATAAATTTTCTTCCTGTACTTGTCCATGAAGTTCCTCTCCAATGGAACAGGCAGTGATATTAATTTTGTCTTCCAGAGAATGTCCAGTCATGTTTGAGTGAATAGTCTCATGTTAACATTTAACATAATAAATACACTGTTTTCAATCTTGTTTTTTTATTTAACAATTATTGTTGAGATGGCTACATATCTGTGCATTCTTTTTTGTCACACAGATGTTCCATTTGGACATCCAAATGTTTAAATGAGATATTAAAAGTGTATATTTATTTTAAGTCTTTCCATTATGATTTTCCTAAAAATCCCCTCAGCTATTCATACAGCATTTCACATTCCAGGAAAGTGATAATGGATAGCCTTCTTAGATGCACACTTAGAAAGAAGTAAAATCACCTATGAGGACAATAAATGAGGACAAGGTAGCCCAATAAAATGAGCTTCCCATTCTTATAAATTAAGTTCTCTCCTAACTATTGCAATGTCGCAAGTTAGTCAACTTTAGAGCTCAATACTTTAAAATATAGACCATTAAAATATCATTTTTAAGTTAAATTAAATATTTAATTTAAAAATTTAGGTAATGATCACTAATTTGCCCATAAAGAGTATCCAATACACTTACGATTAAATGGTGACACATATTTATCACCAACAGTAATATATTCCATCTCACTGAAGAGGCCAATCCTCTCCATATCTGTTTTTCCTCCTTCTATAGGCATGGTTGCTTCTTATGGTGGTAACTTCAAAAGTTTCTTTCTTGTTGCTTCGTTTATAGCAAAAGCTTACTTTTACATTGAGAAAAGAGGGAGAGTAGCCAAAAAGCAATTATTAAATTTCAATCCACATTATTTTCAGTGTAAGAGTTTTAATATTCTCTATAAAACAACAGTCTCAAACTAAGTAGAGAGAAATCAACTCTGTGGAATACTAGAACACTGAGATTTAAAATTGTCTCTTGACTCTTCATGTAAAGTGCCCATAATTCCAAAGGAATGTGTGTGATATCATCTGCCATTTCTCTGTTGGAAATGATAAAATTATTACCATAAAGTGTACTATAAATAGGTATAAACAATCTCCTTCATTTGAGAAGTTCAATGTAGATTCAAAATCATAACTATATAAGGTAAACATTTTGTAGTTTAAATGAGATCAGGCACATTCAGAGTGGTATGATCCCAGACTACACATTTGATAGTTTACATAAAATGTTCCCCATATTGAAAATTATAACAGTTTTTCAGAATGCATACTGCATATACGTCTTGCCCTGCTGACCGTGGGTTTTTTTCAAGTTCAAATTAGTATAAGAAATGTGCTACTCATAAAATTAGTTCCTAAAGAGAATGAGGGAGAGGACAATTGTTTAAGGCAAGATGAAAACACAAACAAAACAAAAAAATCCACAGTGAATTCTGAAGATTTGTTAAAAGGCAGACTGCAACTTTTTAAAATAATCACTTCAAACAAAGGAGAAATGTCACATTAAACATGTAAGTATTAACTCAAAAAAAAAAAAAAAAAAAAAAAAAAAAAACCAAAGATCTAAAGAATACTTGCTTCCATTCATCTGTTATGGCTTGGATATGAAGTGTCCCCCCAAAGCTCCTGTGTTAATGAAGGAATGTTCAGAGGTTAGATGATTGGATTGTGGTGGCTGTAACCTAATCAGTTCATCCTAGTTGGAATGTACTGGGTGGTAAATGTAGAGTGGGGCCATGGCTGGAGGAGATGGGTCACTGGGTGTGTGCCATGAAAGGGTTCATCTTCCTTGTGGCATCTTTCCCCCTCTATGCTTCCTGACCCCACTATATAACTGAGCAGCTTCCCCACAAGTCCCAAATAATCTTGTTCTCTAACAAACATTTCCTCCTCTAAGTTGTTTTTGTCAGGTATTGTCACAGCGAAGAAAAGCTGATTAAAACATTACTCTAATGTTTTTGAGCTATTTATTTATTCATTTTTCTTGGTGCTAGGGATCAAACCCAGGGCCTTTCACATGTTAAGCAAGCACTCTACCACTGAGCTACATTCCCAATTTTTCTACGGAAAGTCTTTTTCCAGGGGTGGTATTGGGGAGAGAACTTAGGGCTTTTGTGAATTCCGGGCAAGTGTCTCCCATGAGCTACATTCCCAGCCCCTACATCTTTATGTATTTAAGCAACTATTAGGAAGTAGGCACTGGGCATACATTAGTGGGGGGAAAAAAAACTTTGGTTTATGCTTCTTGATTTATAATCCAAGGTAAGAGTCTTTTATCTTTAATTTAAAGCAAGCTGTTTCAATGACTCAGCAAGCTTCCCTATTTGGAACTGTGCTTATCTGTGTATGAGTCATTACTTAACTTGTAACATCAAAGGCCTAAGTGAAGATTCAGCCTAAAAATACAGCTTGAGAAAATACAACACACTTTCCCTATCCCACCTCTTCTTCTGATCAGGTATGCCTGGAGACTACACATCAGTCATTAGGGGTGTACTATATGGTTTACAGTTTATTTCAAGCTCCACCCCAACTGCCCAACTAACTAGTATCCTGTGCTGCTACAGGGGTTCAAATCCTTAATGTGGCCCACCAGGTCCATTATCGGCCAGCCTCATTAGTCACCACCGGAACCTACTCCCTGGATACTTGGCTGCACTTGTCTAATTTTCAGGTTGGGCTTTCTCGCCCGAAGTCGCCAGTGCATGTTTCATTTTGGTATGTCAACCCCTTTCTTTCTGTCACCCCAATAAAACACTGATCTTCCTATTGCTCAGTTTGTTCATCATTTCTCTAATACCCCTCATCATAGCTGCATGTACATCTCCTTCCACACCTTCATCATGTTATCTAATAGGTCAACATTTTATATTTTTGGTGTAGGAATTCTTTGTTTTCCCCATTTTGTTTCAACTAAAATGCTGACTCCACAAAGGCAGGAACTGTGATATGAGTTTGGTTCATCTTCACCAATTTTTTTGAGAAGGGAGTCCTCCTTTGTTGCCAGGGCTGGATTCAAAACTCTTAGACTCAAGGAATCCTCCTGCCTCAGCCTTCCAGTAGCTGGTATTGCAGGTGCACGCTACCTCCAATGGCTAATTTGGTTCATTATTGTGCTATTATTCCCAGTACACAGCATCTGGCACCCAGTCAAGTGAGCCACAGAGCAAGGGAAGGAGAAAAGTTCTTGCCCTTAACTTTCTCACTACTTAACTCTTCTTGAGCTACAGTTACAAAATCATTCATTCATTCATTTAACAAATACTTGGCAAATCCCTCCTCCGGGGTAAGGCTCCCAGGTAATAGCGAGGAAAACTGAGACCTAAAAAAGGAATAGATCCTACCCCCCCCCCGCCCTCCTCGGGAGCTGACAATCTGCTAAGGAAGAAAATAAGTATAAGGCAAGTGGAATGCGGCGGGTTCTCTTCAAAAGGCATGGACAAAGTGCATAGCGGGATGAAGAAGGAGCAGAAAACTTCTGGCTGAGGCGATGACGAAATTATTTCCCATTAGGAATAAGAAGGCTTGGAGTAGACAGGTATCTAGGGGACAACACCTGGTGTCTGCGAGGAACAAGTCGCTTCTCCGAAGGGCACCTGATCCGACAACCAAGATCAGATCGTCCCAGCTCCGGTCCGGATTTACTGCGCTGCAGGAGCAACTAGGCTCCGCGTCGCCCTCCCGCGCGCTAGGGATTCCCGCCGGGCGCGCAGGCTGCGAAAACACTCCGCACGTTCGGTGCACCGCTGGGGCTTATTGTGCTGCGTTGCCCCGGGTACGGGAGAAACTATTCCAAGTAGGCTAAGGGAGGACACGAGGAGAGTTCCAATCAGCATAGGAAAACACACGGGACGACTTGTGAGGGTCTATAGGATACAAAAGACTCAATCAATCCAATATATCGAAAAAAGTCTTTCGTTTCCCATCCTTCTAGCCATCGGCGAGGAGATGTAAAGTGGTACGTTCTGTGACGTATTGCTACCGGGCATGCTGGGAATTGTAGTCCCCCGCCCAAGCCCTACCCTTTGGCTGGCGGTGACGCCACTTCCCGGGCGGCCCCAGATCCTCTAGGCAGAAGTAGACGTCCTTGTCACCCCCACGTCGTGGAAATGGTAAGCGCTTCTGTTCGTCACCGACCCCTGCGTTTCCCCTCGGACCTGGGCAGCCGGCGCAAGTACGGGTCCGAGCCCCTGAAGGGAGGCGGGCTCCCCGGCCCACGAAGGTCGCTGCAAACTACGTTGTCTGGAGTCTGCAGCCTTGACCTCTTTCCCAGCTGCAGCCAGAGGGAATCTGTCCTCTCCTCCTTGTGATTTTTTTTTTTTTTTTTTTTTTTTTTTTTTAGAATGAGGCATTATTCGTCGTATTTGAAGGCTATTATTAAGAAAGAGGATTTTGAACTAGGAAAGAGGAATAGCTGTTCAAATAAATACTCTGTTCCCTTAGCTTCCGTGTTGCACTCTCCTGGTTTCCCTCCTGTCTCATAGTTCAGCCAGGTCCTCCAATCCCTATCCTAGATTAACAGGAACACTTTACATCCTATGCTTTCTCCCAATTTTGTATCTCCCGCTTAGTCCTTTCTTCTGAGCTCCAGATTCATAAATCTGCTAACTGTGCCTCCACTTGGATTGCTCATATATATTTCAAACCCTGCAGGTTCAAAATTGACTCATCATTTTCACCTTCCTCACTCCACATCTGCTCTTACTCCAGGAATTTCCATCTCTGCACAGGACACCACAATCCACCTGCCAGCCAAAAACTTGGAAATCACCCTTAACACCTTCCTTTTCTCAAATGAATGTCCAATCCGTAACCAAGTCCTATAGATTCTACTTCTAATTGCCTGTCCATTGTCACTCTCTCCACTGTTGCCATCCTTGTCCGTGCTACTGTTAGTTCTAACCATCTAGGGTAGTCTCCTAAGTGGTCTTTTAAGCAGGCCTTCGTGAGTCCATGCCCTTGTTGGAATGGGCTCTTCTATCTCCAACCCCACTCTGTTCCTCTGGAAGTGTTAATACTTCTGCTACTCCTACCTACTCAACTGTCACATCTTAGCTTAAATATTATTTCTTCAGAGAGGATCTTGATTCAGAAGTCCAGGGAGACTCCCCTGTTTTCACATATAAAATGTTCATGACAACCCTTCTTTTCCCAGTTTTACAGAAGAGAAATAGATTTGAGCAATTAAACTGGGCAAAATCATGCAGTAAGTAGCAGAATTAAAATCTGCTCTTGCCTGTCTTTTTAGCTTTTACCTTCTTTTTAAAAATATTTTTTACTCAAATGTCCATATACTGTTTGTATGGTAGTATTGATCTTTATATAACCAGCTTCTTACTGAGAGCTACTTCAGTGGTTTCTTCCCCCCACCACCACCACCTTTCTCCTCCTCCTCCTCCTCCTCCTCCTCCTCCTCCTCCTCCCCCTCCTCCCCCTCCTCTCCCTCCTCCTCCTCCTCCCCCTCCTCCTCCTCCCCTCCTCCTCCTCCCCTCCTCCTCCTCCTCCCCTCCTCCTCCTTCCCCCCCAGCAATAAGATCAATGGACAATAGTGAAGCTGAATATGTCCTGAACTTTCTTGATTATTTCCTTAGAATAAATTCCCAGAAGCAGAATTGGGACAAAGGGTGGGATCTTTCAACAGGTTACAATTTTTAGAATAAATAAAAGCAGTTACTCTTAAAGAAATACAACAAGATATTTGTGAAATGAGAAAAAGTTGTAATGGTACCTACTTTATGTTCTGAGGATTGATGTCCATAGTGGATGTCAGTATCTATTTAATTCCAAATACGGTTCTCACTGTCCAGTATGATTTTTCAGCCTGATTAAGACATATTTTGAGAATATGACAAAATCTTTGAAACCTCTCCTCAAAAGCAAGCTCTCCCTCTTCCCACTCCCTACTTTTGCTGGTGTCTTTTGGTCACTTTCTCATACACAGTGATAAAGTTTGTCATATATCATCATTGACTACCTGGAACTTGGCATATGGACTCCAGTTAAGAACCGTTGATCATTTCCATTTTGCAAGTTCTCCCTCTGCATGTTCCACATTGCAAGTGTTATCCTATGCCATTTAAATTCTATTTTAAGTGGTTTTTATAGTTGTACAATATTCATAATTATTTAACCAATCTTCTGTTGATGGTAATTAGGTTAAAATACCCTAATTTTTCTGTGTTTTGCAGATTTTCTTAGAGTAAATTTCTATCTGCAGAACTACTAGCCCAAAGACGAGACTATAAAAGGCTTAGATTCTTTTTTTAAGTGTATTTTTTTAGTTGTAGATAAACACAATATCTTTATTTTGTTTATTAATTTTTATGTAGTGCTGAGGATTGAACTCAGTGCCTCACACATGCTAGGTGAATGCTCTGCCACTGAGCCACAACCCCAGCCCAAAAAGCTTTGATTCTTATTGCCACCTTCCAAGAAGAGTCTCCAGTTTATACTGACACCATCAATGATTTGTTAGTTTCCTCTCATTGTCTTGTTCACCAGGTGTCATCAGATTCTGTTCAGTGTTCTTAATTCTATTCTTAAACTGGTTCTTTACCATTTAAGTTTTCATGTCGTTGTTAAATCCCTCAAGACTATACCTTAGAAATATCATCTTAAAACTGTAGTTCTCAACCTTTTTTTGCACATTAGAATCACGGGCATGGGGGCAGAGGAAGCTTTTAAATATCCTTTTGCCTAGGTCTAACTTAGACCAATTGATCATAATTTCTGAGGGTGCAACCTAAGTATCAAAATTTTAAATTCCCCAGGTGATTTCAGTATGGAAGGTTGAAAACCCTTGATTTAAAATTTAGGGATATTATGATTTGGATATTAGGTATTGAATGTGCTCCTGCTCGGTGGTCATTTGGGTACTTTGTCATGGGGGTGGGGCCGGGGAGGTGGAGACTCAGAATCAACACACAGACTCTGGAAGCTGGTGAGAGAACTGGCTGGAGACCCGCCTCAAGTCTTTGTCCAGTAGCTCAGTTTATTTTTGGAATGCACACAATGGTTATAGGGTTTGAGTGGGGCGTGCCTGTCAATCATACATAAGCAAGACAATATCCATAAGCCAATCATCTTCTGCCTAATGTAACCGCACTGTGAGGAAACTCTAAATATTGCTGTCGTGGCAGAAAGCAGGAAGGGTCTTTAACCCTTACTGAGTCAGGGGTTCCATGCCCTGAAGCCCCTGACTCTCAGTTTCTTGGCTGGGCAGTTTGGCAATGCTAACCACAAGTGCTGAGGATGTGGTTTCACCCCATCCTGCAGGCGCTCCTGTCAGCCTGAAGGAAGGTGGATATTTCAGGCACTTCCGAGCTGCTAGTAGCTGCTAGCTGAGACTGAAACTTATTCCAACAAGGTATCCCCCCAAAAGCTCATGTTAGGCAAGATAGGAATGTTCAAAGGTGAAATGAGTTGATTAATGAGAGTTGTAACTTAATGGGTGGATTAACCCACTTGGTAGTTTAATAATTTGGATATATTCCTGGGTGGTATCCATAGGCAGGTGGGACATGGCTGGAGGAAGTAGATTATGTTTTGTCATTAGCATCTTAAGTGCACATGTGCTGTCTCTCCTTCCTGGCTGCCATGAGCTGAGCAGCTTTCCTCTGCAAAACTCTTTTCCCGTGATATTTTGCCTCATCTCGGGCCAAGAGCAATGGAGTCTACTGACCAACCAGAAACTGAACATCTGAAACCCTGACCCCAAAATAAACTTTTCCTCCTCTAAGTTGTTTTTGTCAGGTATTTTGGTCACAGCTATGAAAAGCTGATTAAACACAAGGCATTGCATTCTATTTTTCTCCATAAAACAAGGAACTTATTCAAGAAATAATCCAAAGATTCAAGCTTAATTAATGCCTTACTCTAAAGTCTAATAGATTCTAATTTATTTGAGGATGGGTATGTTTTGCTTTAAAAGGGAATTTTTGTTTTATTCTAGGTAATTTCAGAAACTATGGATATACTCTTCAGAATAAGAGGAGGCCTTGATCTGGCTTTCCAGCTACCAACTGCTAATGGTAGGTGTTGAGAAAACTTCTACCTTTCTATCATAAAATTAATGATAAAATATACTGAGATTCCATTTGGCAGATGAAAACAAGTGAAAGACAGGTTAAATGAACTAAGGTTATATATTTAATAAGTGAATTAAATAGTATTTAAACTTAAACATGGTTATAGCACCTTTACCAGTCCATGGGTACCTCTGTGGCAATTAAAAAAAAAAAAAGTCCCCTCCTTCCCTTAGGGAATTTTTCTGCCTCTTGCAGAAAATTACTACAATAAACATAAGTATTGCCAATGAGCATAATGTACATAATACATCCAGAGCCTAATGTAAATAATAAATCTAATACATTTGTACATTTTAGACTTGCAGCTGTACATAACCCCACATCTCCAGACCCTACTTTTAAAAATACTATTATAATAGTTTAAGAAAGTCCACAGGAGAAAAATCAATGGGATTTGTATAAAACACGTTCTAGGATGTCATCCTGCTTCTGACTTGGACTACTGCCATAAACAAAGATAAAGAGTACCAGAGGAGGAATGTGATGAATTGTGTTTGAGAATTTCAAGATGCCTATGGGACATTAAGTGCAGATTCCCAACAGACATTTGTCTGAAATTTAGGGGAAAGTGGTCAGAATTGGAGCTAAGGAATGTGATGTCCATTAAAGATGATAGCTAATACCTTGATAATAAATGAAATCACTCATTAAAAGTATGATCAATTATGTTACAGCCACACAGAGGTTCAGAAAGATAAGAAATGAAAAGTGTAGGAGGAATGAAGACTTAACTGCTAACAGGCATGGGATTTCTTTGTAGGGTCATGAAAATTTTCTAGAATTGGTGATGATTGTAAAACCTTGTAAATATATTAAAAGCCATCTATTTTATACTTTTAAAGAATGAATTTTATGATTTGTAAATTTTATCTCAATTTTAAACAAATAGAAAGGCAAAAATATTTGTTATAATTAATGGAAATGGGTATCTGAGAGTCAGTTTCACTATGTTCTACTTTCCTGTGTATTTGAAAGAATTCAGATTGAAAAATCGAATATTTTTCTTACCTTCTACATATTCTTTTAATTTAGAAATTTTTATCAAGAAGGCATTAAAACGTGTATTGAGTGACCTGTCGAAAAAGCTTTCTTCAAATGCACTTGTATTCAGAATTTGCCATAGTTCAGTGTATGTATGGCCTAATAGTGACATAAACACCATTCCAGGAGAACTGACTGATAGCTCTGCTTGTAAGAACATAATGCGCTTTATTAAGTAAGTATATTTAAAGATTTCTAGAAATGTTTTTCAAAACATCACTTAATAATTTTAAATGTATCTGTGTATCAAAAATTTTAGATCTGAGCAGGAAGAAGATACAAAACGAAAATTCATGAGAAAGAAAGACAAAAAATTATCAGACATGGTAAGCAAATCACTTGTCTTCTTTATTAATAAAAATATTAAATCTTCAAATTTGGAGCTGACTAAGATCTTATAGATAGTTTAATCTAACCTTATTTTTATAGGTCAGAACATTGAGTTTCAAAAAGGTTTTGTGTCTGTTTCACATATCTAAACTTTCTCTCACTATAATACATATCTTGGAAATTCTTTTTAATGCTTCCTTTGTTTCCACAAAAATAAGACAGACTTGAATACTTTTACAAGTCATTTAAAAGTAAATAAAAGTACATAAAAATACTCATTCTTACACATGACAAAGGGACGCATTATGACATGTAAAATAATGAATGCTAAAAGATTTTTTGTTCTTCACACTGTTTTTTGTTCTACTGATTTTTGCACCAGTATTACTGATTACCTGCCATATTCCACAAATTTTTCCAGAGATGAAAAATGGAAACACTTCTTCCAGGGTACAAAGTTAGAGTGACTATAGTGTTTTTTTAATCTGATTGGTGGACAATGGATGCCTATGAGATTAGTGATACCTTATTAAAACACCAGTTATGAGAATAGAGAAGAAAAAGTGGATACAAAAAAATATTTAGAGTATACAATGAATTGTATTTGGAAATTGATTAGATATGGCACAACCAGTTTCTTACTTGAGAAAAGATGGAAAGTGATGAAGACATGAGGTCATTGTGGGTATGTTTGACAGAAGTAAGACACAGACAAGCTATTAAATTTACAAATGTGATGTGCACAAAAAATTGTGAGGTGGATATTGATTTGAAAATTATCAATAGTTAGAACTTGACGTTTTGAGTAGTACATGTCAGTTATTTCATAATATATTCACTGATTTGAGTTTGTTTTTATGCTTTCTGGTCATTAGATTCCTGTATTATGGTCAGGAATATCACTGAAGAGATATTATGTCCTTTCCAGTATAGTGTACTAAAGAGGCAGATGCTATCAGTTTGTTCCAATTCTTAGTGATATTAACTTTCATCACTTACTTAAGATGGTATCTACTAGTTTTCTCTGTGGTAAAGGTACTATGTATTCCATTATGATTAATATCCCATGAGAGAATACTTCTAATCCACCTCTTAACCGCCATTGTCAAATTTCACCAGAATCCAATATGATGCTTACAACCTGGTGATTTTTCTATCATTTCCTTCTACATTTATTAGATGGCATTGTACTATAAGGAAGAGTCCGCCTGCCCCCCACCCCTCTTTATTTTTTTCTCATTTGCATGGAAGCTTAGATTCTTATTAATGAAATGAACTATAATCTGGTACTATCATTAGTTATTTTGACATATATTTTCTAAGATTTGACCAATAGAAGCATCTTCAAGCCACCTCTGTTGTCTTTTTACAATTATATCTTTGAGCACTCCTTTCTATCTTTCCGTAAGATGGTCCAGGTGCAACATATTCTTTCCCAGTTCCAGCTCAGGAATCAGTCATTCTTCATGGAATAGATAGATAGATAGATACATACATACATACACACTGCATATCTATCAGTGTGAGTAATATTGATTCTTTCAATACCACTTCAATTCCACCAAGTTATCAACAACTCCCAATGAGAAGCTTGACTGCTAGTGTCCTCAGTATTTTGCAAAATTTGTTCAGACACAGAAAATAGTTTTAGAATCATTTCTTACCACTGCAAAAATCAAACCTAGTAAATACAGCTGAACATTTGTTTATAGGTATGTATATATTTAAACCAGGGGTATATAGTCAAAGTTCCTTTTGTGTGTAGTTATCTTATGGTGTTTGTTTGAATTTTTTAACAATTAAAATCCATACAAAAGTTGAGAGACTAGTATAATGAACCATGGTGAACCTATACCTAGCATTAATATTGTGTCAACATATGACCAGTCTGATTTCATCTTTACTTCCTATCCACTCTCCCTCTTTGCCCAGATTATTTTGAAGCAAAAAGAAATTTCTTAAGATTTATACTTTTAAACAATTCACTGCAACTTTATGTATTGTCCTTAAAAAAAAGGTCCTTTTACTTATCCTTCATATTTTGAGCTTAATGTACAACAAGTTGACATTGCTGTTTATCTATATAGCATCAAATAGTAAACATAGATCTTATGCTGGAAATGTCAACATCTCTGGCTGCTGTAACCCCCATCATTGAGAGGGAAAGCGGAGGACATCACTATGTTAATATGACCTTGCCAGTCGATGCAGTTCTGTCTGTTTCTCCAGAAGAAACATGGGGAAAGTAAGTATTTTTATACTATTACTGCCACATTTAAATGAAGACCCTTCCTTCAAAGTAATCAGAGCCCATTTTTAGATATTAGAATGGCATGTTTGAGTGGTTGTTGTTTTTGCTATGATTTATTCCTTGTTTATTATCAACCAAAGAGTCACCTAGTAATTATTTATTTAGAGAAAGTAGGGTAGTATGCCAAAAACTAGAGGGTTTCCCTTTATCCACACAGCGAAAATACAGTTTCTTTTACTTGACATAATTTAGACTTCTTTTAACAAACCTGATCCAGACATGTTTTAACTAACCTGATCCAATCAAGTTTTTACTATGTTAGAGATATATTAGCTTTACACTTTGATTCAGTAGCCACTAAGACTTTTGTTAATACACTTGTGAATTTCCTTCCCCCACAGAGTTCGTAAACTTCTAGTGGATGCAATTCATAATCAACTAACTGATATGGAAAAATGCATTTTGAGATATATGAAAGAAACATCTATCGTGGTTCCTGAACCATTGCACTTTTTATTACCAGGAGAAAAAGGTCTTGTAACAGTTTCATATCCATCAGGAATTCCGGATGGCCAGCTGCAGGCCTATAGAAAGGTAAAATCAATTCATTTATTCTTGAAAAAGACAATGACCATTGTTCATGTTATATTTATTTATATATTTCCAGTAAAAGGAAATTATTTTGTAATTTACCTTAAAAGTATGGAAATAAATTATTAGTTTTTTATATTATTTAGTTTCTGTTTTCATGGAACTTTTTTTTTTATATTGCTAATGAAAAAATATTGTGCTGGTTATATTTTAATTTTGAATGCTCCATTTGGTTCATACATTCTATGGAATTTTTATAATTTTTCTATAATGAAATGCAGAAATGAAAAGATGTAGCATGTTTAGATTAGCTGATGATTGTTAACAAATTGCTTTTCCCTTCTGTTACTTCCAGATTTGTGGGGGGAAAAAAAAAACAACAAGATTACAGTTAAGGAAGGAATGTTAGAATTTATGTGAATGCTGATTATGATCTATGATAATACTGTACCTTAGGTAGGGTTAGGGTTATTAGGTTTTATTAGAGGAATTTGGGTAAAAACATAACTAGCATTTAAAGAAATGAGATTTATTGGTAAAAATGACTATTTTTTTAAGTGTATCTTTTTGATATGTGGCCTTACCTATAACCCATCAAATTGTATTATGGGGCCATTTTCCTAAAATCTATCCCTAAGAAGTAGTGTAATATTCTAACCCTGTATACCTCTCTGTAAATGCAAGGTGAATTGATTTGCAGAGGTAACATCTGTCCAAGGTGGTCTTTTCAAACACTAGAGTACAAAGGAGTGATGTCAGAGTTTTAAAAGTAACCATTACATGTTTTTATACAGTTGAGAAAATATCACATTTTAAACATGTACATATATTTTTATTTTCATGCCGTTTTGGTTGGTTTAATACCACTAACTTCTACTCTATAATTTAATCAGTACCCTTTATGTTTGTAAAGTGCTCTTAACATGATTTTTCAAAATACTTTGATATAGTTTTATCTTTGTCAAATATAATTTGTTTTATATCTTTATTTATTGACAAAGAATCTTATCATTAACTTTTTTCTTTGTTGATTCTGATTTCATTTAGGAGTTACATGATCTCTTCAATTTGCCATGTGACAGACCTTATTTCAAAAGGTCTAATGCTTATCACTTTCCAGATGAGCCATACAAAGATGGTTACATTAGAAATCCACACATTTATCTTAATCCACCTAACATAGAAGCCCATATGGTGAGTTTTAACTAATTGCATATAAGAGTCATTTGATCATTTGTCTCATTTATTTTTTGTTGGTACCCAAGAGAAGTTTTAAGGATTGATTCATAATATATGTCTTCCCTAAAAAATTAATTTATCACCTATTTCTTTGCACAGTCTTTACGATAGCAGTAATTAACAATGATCTAAAAGAGTAAGTAATTAATAGTGACCTGAGAGTGGAGAGTATATACCATATTTCTCTTACTCAAATTTCATTCCTTGATTTCTTTGAAAGTTTGTCCCATTTTTTCATTCTGAAACTGCAAAATCATTCTAATTAAGGGCATATCTGCACAAACCACACTGAAGGATATATCTGACAACTTTTTGGTCTTATTTTCTGTATGTAATCTACCTGGTTATAAGGGATAGATACTCACATAAAGGATAGATTCTCCCTTAAATAAAAAGGATGGAGAAAGGAGTTAAAGATACATGTAGACCAATGAGAAATAGGAATAGGAGCACAGCTGGCCCTCTTAAAACAAAGGAACCCTGAGACTGGTAGCTGTCCGAGTATCTCTGAAGTCCTACATGGACTCCTTGATGGCTGTTCCATTGCTTTCTATGTGTCTCTTTGATCCTGAGTGGCCTGTTCTATCTTTTCTCAGTTTCATACCTTCTGTATCCTCATTGTTTCAGTTTGTGTAGGACTTTTTCCTATCCTTCCTCTTAGCTGCTCAGTGTGTGCTTCATTTCAACTTCATTACCTGCTCCTTACTGGTTCACTCTGCACTTCTCAGCTCAGATTCCCAAAAGCAAGAAAATTTAATTGGCTATCTTTTCATGACAGTTATTCAGCACCTTCTGAGTGTCCAGGGCTTTTGTAAGAAAATCTGAAGAACGAAAATTGAATATATGATACAGTAGGGGCCTACTTTTAGTCTTATCCATCTGAATGCACTTAACTCCATCTGACAGAACTGTGGACACATCACCTCCCCTAGAAAGAACTCTGAGCACTCACTGTTACATGTACACACAAGAGTCTTTAGAGAGCATTTCAGGGATATTAAATGACTCACTTATTTTGAAAAGATGGGAAGAAATCTTGAGACCTATTCCTTGTTAAAAATCTTGCTCTGTCACAGACATAGAATCATAGAATAGGAAGTATAAAACAGAGTTTTATACTTTTTGTTGAGACAAAAAGTAAAACTCTTGATGGTTTTTCTAGTAGATGGTTACATAAATGTTTTCTCTCTCAGACTATATTCAGAACTCCTCCAGGGTAGATATTATATCATATATTCTCTTTTAATTCTTTAAAGAGAACTTTGACACTCAAAATACTAAGTGAATACTGATATATTTGTGACAATGAAATTCCTTATCTGTATTACAAAGGAGCCAGAAGCATTGATAATAATTTTTAAATATTTATTATGTAATATTTTATACATATGTAAAATGTATAGCATAGCAAGGAAATGAGTACTGAGGAGCCCCTACGTATTTAAGCACTAGAACATTATCAGTCTGACAGAGCACTCCTTCCTTTTTCACTCCCTGCCTCCACAACAGTACCAAGAAAGATTCTTACACAGTTGACCCTCCATATCCATGGTTGTGCATCTGTGGACTCAGTCAACACCCTGATCAAAATTATTTTGGAGAAAAAATTATGTCAGTACTGAACAGACTTTTATTTCACAAGCAATTCAATTGTTTTAGAAAATAATATTGGTTTATAAAAAAAGATGTGCATTCTTAGCATTATACTACAACTAAGAATTTTATAATATCAACCTTTATTTTAGAGTTATTAAATAACACCCTGGGTTGTTTATAAAATGCAGAAGCATTTTATGAATCCTTCACTTATTTGTTTATACATTCCTTTAGTCCTTCATTTATTCATTCAGGAAGATCATCATTTATTCAACAACATTTGTATCAATTGAGTGCCCAGTCTGTTATAGAAGCAATGTTAAGTTAAACATCAAATAGTGATATGCTTCGGAATAGAGTAGGCTAAAGATGATGTCCAGGGCAGAAGACGGGTGGTGAGAGTGAGCATGCCATCTTTAGGTTGGATGGTCAGGGAAGGTCTCTGACAACTTAATGGAAACCTGAGTGGAAGAAGGGTGAAGCTGTAAGATTATTTGGGTAAATAGTTTTTCTATCCAAGAGAACCTTAAAGCTCTGAGGTCAGATTATCCCTGGTGTATTTGAACCCAAACCAGATGAAGAAATAGGGAAAAGCAAAGGAGATGAAGTTGGAAAGGAGACCACTGTTGGGTCCACTGTTGAGGAACTTTGGTTTTTAATAAAAGCCAAGAAAGAGGGTATAATGTTAAGCCATAGTTCTGTGAAGGCATATTTATTTATTTATTTTTCTAATTTGTTATATATACCAGCAGAGTGCATTACAATTCACATATTACATATATACAGCACAATTTTTCATGTCTTTGGTTATATA